GAAGCCTAGTGTCTTTTGTATTTTATTTTTCATGCCAGCCTCCTTGCTGTGCACCTGATCAAGGTTCTTGTGGCCTGGATGGAGCATGCAAAGACTGCACTACGGTAACCTGCATATTTTATACTTGGAGACTACATTAAGCGAAAAATTGTTGCCTTCTTGTAGTGTAGGGTAATTTTCTTTTTCGCTTTCAGTATTCTACTTTTTTCTGTTACTAAATATGCTCAATTTGTCAGTGCTTCCGTCACTCAGATTTGAATAATGACCGTCCATCCACAGCACAATTTAAGGAGAAACTTCCCTGGTTCCTGAGTGCTCTACCTTCTGCTGATTGTGCTAAAGGTGGCCATGGCGCATATTCCAGTAGTGTAGATCTGCAAGGTTTGTACCATATTTTATGTTTGCTTGTGATTGCTTTCTCATAAATGCTTTTCCAAAACAAGTGTTTTTTTCTTTTGTTAAAATAATCTTCTGCACTATGGTTTGTTATTTGACTTTATTTTCCTGTTCTGTTCGTTTGTTTTAATTAAATATTTAGTTCTGTTTCCTTCAGGCTATGAAGATGGTGTCATTCAGGCTTCATCATTCCGTACATACCATACACCACTTAACAAGCAGGTAGGGCATGTGTGTTCTGAAGGCTAAGATTTGACCCTTCATTTCTCTCAAAAAGATTTGACCCTTTTATGCTGCTATTCTTAATACTATTGGAGGACCCTTACTAACATCCTTTTCTGCTAGGTTGATTATGTTAACTCAATGAGGGCTGCTCGAGACTTTAGTTCAAAGGTTTCCAATTCTCTGAAGGTAAATAACTTGATAAAATTTGTTCTATTGCTCTCTAAATGTTTTTTTCCCCTTTCATGGCTACACTATGTGCTGTGACGGCTGTCCTATTTTTCTTTTGGTTATATAATTGTTGAGCTTCTCGTGCGAAACCCTGTCTACTGTACACATATGTATATATCCAGGTTTGCCATAGGATTTTTGGCTAGGTGTTTTCTGTAAGTTTAACATTGTTCTTTCTTGCAGATGGAGATTTTTCCATATTCAGTATTTTATATGTTTTTTGAGCAATACCTTGATATATGGAAGAGTGCCGTGATCAACCTTGCTATAGCCATTGGTTAGTACCACTAAGAACACCAACTCTTGATATGTATCTGTTATGCCACACCCTTGTATTTATGGATCAAGTACATGTACATACATAATTTCTAAAGATTTAAATTTGAAGATACCTTGAAACTATAAGGGCGATATCAAGGAGGAATCTTGTCTTCATGATATCATTATTAACTCATATAGAACTAAATTATGATGGAAAACATTGCATTAGCGTTTGATCTGTCATAAGAATCTACAGTTCTCCATATTATACGTAATAAAATATGCCAAAAACACACATACATTGGTATTGAACTAATAAAATTTTTGCCTTTTGCAGCATCAAATTTCCTAAACTACTAAATTTAAGAAGTAGAAAAACACTTCCACAAGCCGAATTATGATATTTTCTACTATTTTGTTAATATTAGACTTTGCTTTAGTGATATTATTAGTCTATTAGTGCACATGTCTATAAAGTTGCTTCTTTTTCCACTTTGGAGATGCATCATAATCAGATCTTTTTTCTCCCAGGTGCCGTATTTCTTGTTTGTTTAGTTATCACATGCAGGTAACTTTCAACAACAACTCCAATTCAAATTCGTTCTACTGTTTTTTTTAATCATCTGGGTGAAACCAGATGTACTTCACTTGTGATCTATTCTTTAACAATTAACTCTTTCTCTTCTAAACATAGTCTATGGAGTTCGGCAATTATTTTGCTGGTATTGGCTATGATCGTTGTGGATCTCATGGTATTATTTCTTTCCTCCTACTTTTTTATTTATTTTTCTGCTGGCAAATTGTTGCTTGATCTGTTTGCTTTTGGGATTTAACTCTACAGGGTGTCATGGCGATTCTAGATATCCAGCTGAATGCAGTATCTGTTGTTAATCTAGTCATGTCAGTGGGAATTGCAGTAGAGTTTTGCGTACATATAACACATGCTTTCTCGGTCAGTTTCACTCCCTTTCCTCCCTTTCCAGCTGAATGCAGTATCTGTTGTTAATCTAGTCATGTCAGTGGGAATTGCAGTAGAGTTTTGCGTACATATAACACATGCTTTCTCGGTCAGTTTCACTCCCTTTCCTGCCCATGGTAGTTACCTGGTTCTTAGATAAGGCACTACCATGGTATTGAATTTTCCAAATTAATGACCGTAATTAGAAGGTTAAGTGGAAAAATATCTTCATTTCCTTTGATGATTTTCTGAGGGATGATTAAGTATGCTACATAGTATGGTTGGACAATCTTGTTCCCATCACCTCAACTAGAAAATCATTCATTGCATTTTTGTACAGATAAGCAGTGGAGACAAGGACCAACGTGTTAAGGAGGCGTTGGGTACAATGGGAGCTTCTGTATTCAGGTTTTTGCCCTCCAAGGACTCGGCCTCTTTCTCCTTCCCCTTTTTCCCTTTTCTATTTCTAATGTATGCATGAGAGAGTGAGAAAAGGCTGGTGTTAAATGCTTGGACAATTATATTCTACCATTCTCATCCCAACGAAATGGATAAAACAATTTTGTGTCTCACGGTACTCAAGATTATGTTCTTATAGTGTTAATCACATACATACTATAACAAAGATTTTTCATGCTTGGCTTTCAGTTCCAGTAAGGTTTTGCAACATAGACTGATAAACTGTTGGATAATATTTTGCAGTGGAATCACACTAACAAAGCTAGTCGGGGTGATCGTTCTTTGCTTTTCGAGGACTGAAGTTTTTGTGGTCTCTGCTCCCCGATCAAGATATCAAACACATCAGACAACATACTTCACTGTTTCTAATTCTTTTCTTTCTTATATCTGTAGGTTTATTACTTCCAGATGTACTTGGCGTTGGTGCTTCTTGGTTTTCTACATGGCCTTATATTCTTACCAGTAAGTTAATTATTAAGATGATAGCACGTAATCATGGACATTATGTGGCGCATCTATTTTATTTTCTTTAGAGGGAAACAAAATCTCACAGAATATAGGAAAAGGCTTTTTGCCAGAATAGATGCTAAGAGAGTCTCGCTCAGCAAAGAGAAAAGAGTTGTAATCGCAGTCATTTGGTGAAAGGACTGCTCTGTCCTGTTACATTTGTCCTGAGTGGTTTATTTTCTATCATGCTTTGCATAATGTTAAATTTACTAGATGCAAAGCTGTGCACCAGGTGGTTCTTGTTGTTAGTACAAGGCAGTGAACTAGTTGGTTCCACGTAATTACTGGGCAGGAATTAATTTTTCCAACATGTTTGCCTAATATTAGACCTTTGGCATTTGTAAGAAGTTGTGACTTCGTGCCAGTCCATGGTTCACTAGTACTCACCTAACTAGGCAATTTTATTGACCAGACAGCTAAAGCACTTTCTGTATTTTTTGGGGGAAGGATATTTATAGAAAGAGAATAATGTCAAATTATAATCCATGGTCTTTATGTTTCCACTTTCCAGGTTTTTCTGAACATGTTTGGTCCGCCTTCAAGATGCCAGATTCCAGAAAGGCAAGAAGAACGGCCGTCAATTTCATCTCAGCCATAAGATTTTTTATTTTGGCGAATGGATTAGAGAAAGACTGAATTTGCAGGTTCAATATCCTGCACTGAAGTTTTTTGTTTAGCCACCACGCCACGAGAAGTATACTTGCACAGCTTCAAGGTATGTATAGAGTGTAAATGTTCTGGCGATAGAAAGGAGACAGGTGTTGTCTATTGTAAAATTAATATTATTTGCCCTGATTTTGTTAGCTACAATAACTGTTTCCCCAATCCATTTACACTGCTCGATCCTTCAAATTATCACCAGAAGAAGCTAGAGCATATTTGAAACATTTTCCACAGAAAGAAACTATCTTTTTTCTTGTGATTCTGTCTCTACTTTTTTTTTTTTTTTTTTTTTAAATTCTCATGCTCTTATTTGAATCACTATATATGTAGTGTGTGTATATATCGTTGTACGTATACAATATTCTAACATTTTCAGGTTCCTGAACACATTTATGATTTATGCGGGGGTGTTTTAGGTGCATTTTTATAACAAGGGTATAGTTATAACATTCTAATAAAAACATACCGTATGTGTTTGTATTCTTTTAGTGAATAATGATGGTGTGTCTATTCAAACATTTCACTTTTTGAGGAGAGAGAGAGTAAGGGAAGAATCCAAATGCATACTAAACATAAAAATTGTAACAAGAAATATACACAACGTTTCATACCAGACATATCAAAGTTTATCATGTATCATCAGCAAACGGGTGTATTAACTAGTTACATTTTACTTCATTATTTTTTTGGGTCCGTTATCTTATAACAAAGGGCTTAGGACTTGAACCCATATCATAAAAAAAGAGTGGTAAAACCATCAGTTATTCAACCAAAAAATGATTGTTTAAATTTTGGAATTTTTGAGAAAGGATGAGAAGTGCAGAATCCTCTACGGACATGATAGAGCAAGAGTGACAGTGACGGTGAGCATCCGCATGTTTGTTTGGACATTTCTGGTTGTCTATTCTAATGGTGGAAACCCATTTGGATTCTCTACTTGCACTTGCACTTTTATATGTTACTGGCAAAGCAAATGAAAGAGGAAAACGCCAAAAGTAGCAGAAAGGGGAGAGCCACAAACAGTGACTACAACCTCAACAACCTTCTGGCTCCTTTCCACACTCCTTTTCCCATCAAGATCGGTAGTCCAACCCTCTACCGATCCCTACTAGCGATAAACATTTCTTAAAAATTATTTCAAAGAGAAGTGTGTTGAAGAATGAATTGTTGGTGCAGGATACGAGAATGAAAAATTGCATGATCCACGAAACATTATTATTACCAGAAGACTAGAGAGCGGTAGATAGCTTACGGGTGTTACCATGAATTATGTACATTTCCATAAGAATAATCGCAATATCCAGGTGACCGGAGTTCTTTACTTCACTCCTCTTTTTTTGCTTCTAAATTAAGACATTTGACATTTGAGATAGAGCACTTGGGTGCTCAGTACTCAGTACTCAGTACTCCCAACAATGACAAAATACCTTCTGGGCTGCTACATGCAATTGATACCAAAACCCTGAGGGCTCCAAAAATCTTCATTTCTCATCAGAAAAAAGAAAATTTATGTACTTCAAAAGTTCCCCGATCATTTCCATCAGTTCCCTTCTTTAATTGCAAATTCCTGGGCTTTTTCCATGCCAATCAACTATGCTGTACTGTACCTCTTCTGCTCCAAAGCCTCTGTGATTATACGGTTTCTTCTACCTACAATGACAAGATTTCTTATGCTCACTTGCTAATCAGCAATTTTTCCAAAAAATCCATGTCTTGTGAGGGATTATCAGGATCAAGACAGCTTACAACTGCTTCATTGACATTGCTGAAAACACACTAAGATCATGATGGGCAACTGCTGACTGAAGACCTTTCCAAAAGACTATGAGAAACTTGGAGCGAAATTCTGATTGTATGGTTTTGAGATGATCGATATATATCTATACACTCCTCCAAATCAGCATCACATGTTAGTAACACCCACTCAGAATCATCATCCAAGTACTTGAGATCAAATCTACTTACGTCATCTATATTAAACCTCCTTGCAATTTCTTGCAATAAGTCACTGAAACTCCAACTACTCTGCATTCGGAACCTGATTTTCTCGTCCCCATATGTGACCTTTATTTTTTGAGAATCTATCTCTTGAGATACCTGGCTGCTATTTTTGGGCAAAGGGAGAAGACTCTCCAAATTAGGCTGCTTCCCAAGAGATATGTGGCTCTGGGATCTTGGAAGCAGTCTTGGTCCCTCCTGACTACAAGCATGCAGTTCTGCATCACTCCTGACTCTCTTTACCACACAATCACCTAAGCTCTCCACAACTATAGGATCTTCAGTAACTGTGGCACTGAAAATGGAAGGTTGTTGCTCTGTCCCACTGGAACAACTATGGCTAGAACTGGAACTCTGACTGCATGAAGAGGAAGGTGACTTTGAAGCAACAATTGAAGAATTAAATTTTCGACCTTCAGGCATCATGCTCGACGGCTTTGGATGATTACTAGTCAGCTTCGAAGTTGAGAATGGGCTAGCATCTGATGCTTTTGGAGATGCCAGCTCCGGAAAGTTTGCATAGAAAGAACCAATTTGGAAAGGGCCAGAAACACCTTGAACTGAGTCAATCACGCGTTGGATTTTCTGCAAAGAATGACCAACCTTCTTGATTTTTCGAGAAGGCCAACGTTTTATTCCATGTTGTCTGCATATCCTTTTCAAGGTGGTAGGGCAAACTGAGAATCCAAAATATGAAACAATAAGAAATGTTAAATAAAGACATTGGCATGAGAAGCTTGCATCAATAACAAGATAGAACAAAGATGAATGTTCTGAAATACTATTCAGCAATAACTATTCCGTAGATCTTTTCAAAAAGAAAGAGACCTTATTGAAGTATAGTGCATACGGGAAACTTAATGGAAGAGGGTAAACAAAAGACATTCGTGCTTTATAAAGTCAGTAGTCGCCTAAGTAACTTCATTTGCCAACAGCTTCATACACTGCATTTTGGGGAAAAGAAGCTCTTTATAGAAATGACATTTTTTTTATAAATTTTCTTAAAAAGAAACAAGTAATTATATTCAAAGAGAACCAAGGAGGTACAACTCATATACAAAAATATTTATAACTCTAGGCAAATGTCTATAGGTCGCTTAAGTTCTCACTATAACATAATGGTGATCCGTCATAAGAAAATTAGGACCTCGAACCATGAATCTTTAGATCTATCAAAATTAGATTCTATACCCTCAAAAGTCATTCCTATTTCTCTCTTTTCATATTACCCAAAAGGTAGGCGAAGAAATAAGCCTAACAGATTGCTTACAACTACGGATATCTTTCCACACCCAAACAAGTGGCAATAAGTTGTACGCCAAAGACCATAGGCGGGAAGTAAACATAGACACCAAAGGAAGGTATGGTCATAAGTTTTATCTTCATTTTTTGCACAAGTCGTCCCTGTTCACTATAACTTTTTTCCTCCTTATCAACTTATCTAGAGTAAGAATTCATTCCTATACTGCTTCCCAAACAGCAAAAGCCACCATGGGAGTCACTTTCGCCTTCCATACCAGTTTCGACGGGAAATTCTCAATTGCATCCTCCCTTTTGGTCATATGCAGGTAACATTATTTGACTGAGAAAAGTTCCATATAACTCAAGCTCGAAACAGGTTCATTCTTGGTCCCATTTGATATCTCCATTGAAGAAAGAGAATTGAGAAGCCTCATATAGTCTCAATTCCCAATTATTCAAGTTCCTGGTTAATTCAACTGCTCAGATGCATGAGTCTTTGGTTGAAATTTCCTTATTCTGAGGAAAAGCAAAAGTAGCTGGAAACTGCAAGTAAAAAGCTCCCCCTCCCGTGCACTCATCCCTCCAGACCCAACTCTCCATCTGATGCATTTCTGAAAGTCTCTTTTGCCCATATTATTCTCTTCCACAGCCGTACTCTATACGGACCGTGGGGATTCTTGATGTACCAACCAGAATTATTTTAGGCAAATTTAGCCACAATCACCTTCCTCCAGACACTCTTTCTATCCCTCAGGAATCTCCACAGCCACTTACCTTGGAGATCAAAGTTAAAGGACCTCACACCCAGACCGCTCCCCTGTGCAGTCATTTCACCACATCTCATTGCCACAAAGTGGTACCTTCTCTTATCATCAGCGCCACCCACAGGAAAATGTTGAATTGCCTGCAGCCTCTTTGGTATACTCACTGGATGGTGGACAAAGACATGAAGTAGATGAGGGTATTAGCCACGGGGATTTTGATTAGGGTAAGTCTTCCACCCTTGGAAAGTAAAACCCTCTTCCATCATGCCAAATGGAAATCAAATCTGCTCACCACCAGCTCACAAGGCAAACTTCGGACCAAGCTGAAGTCCTAAATATTTGACTAGAAGATTGACATTTCTACAACCCAGATGTAGCCAGATTCTCACCTTCCCTTATATCTCCCAAATGGACTAATAAAAACAGTATTTATATTTTTTCTGTCGATCTGTCAACCACATTAAGCCATGAAAAAGGATATTTATTGATATAAATCCCAACCAATAAGCTAAAAGGAAAATGCAAAATGTGATAATCATGTAGCTGACATATTTCTTCTGTTGGAAGTTTTGTTGTACCCCTTTTCTGTTCCTTTGTTTCTCATTTACTAATTAGCTAACTATTCAATCTATATTCTAATGACCAAAGATGCATTTAGTTGCAGTCTGTAATTAAAAGATTGTAAAAGTTTCAGAGTGATTGAAATTATGCTTACCACCAATACTCTTTGCAGCATCTTTTAGACTTCCAGCAAAATATTGTCGAAGAACTTGCAAAGTGATAGTTTTCTCTGCTTTGACACGCCTTTTCTCCCCACCTTTGCTCATAGTCACACTTGAGAAGCTACTCTCATTGAAAACACAACCTACATCATATTTGAAACTTCCTTTCAAACTAAAATTTTCCTGCTGTTGCCCAACCTCCAGCAGTTCTTCCTCCAACATTCGCCTGGGCTTTTCATTTTGGAATAATGAGGCAGCAGTACCACTATCTTGGACTTCTGTAAGACAAGCAGTCCAACAGGAATTTTCTCTTAAATACTCCTCGGAATGAGTGCACTCCACTTGTAACATCTCTTCTCTACTTGGTCTGTTATCTAAAGGGATTATCACTTCGCTAGTTTGTGAATAAGTCTCCTCCTCCAGCTCCTTCTCTGTTACAACCCGTAAGCTCCGACAAACCTTTTGTATGATGATGGAAAGTGAACTTAGCATCTTTCGCTGTCCTTCAGGATCTATGCAGTCCACAGGTAAGAAGAACTCCAGGACATAGTCAGCTTTACCAGTATGGATACCCCGCAGGCGTATAGCAACAGCACCATGCAACCCAAACATTCTTGCATGATGAGATAGAGGATACTCGGTCTTCTTAAAGGAAGTTATATCAGCTGAGAAGCATGGTTGGTTAGTCAAAAATGCTTCCCCTGCAACACCTTGACCTTTCAATAAGTGATACTCCGAACAAGCCTCATGAAATCCCTGAACGCTGAGATCAGCCACATAGCAAGCATCATCCACAGTGGAAACACATCGGACATAGTTTTCATTAGAGTGCCGGCAACCTCCTTTACCTTGTTGGACACATGGGACCCAAGTCTGGGCTAATGGTAACCGGTGTGTCTCACAGGCACATCTCAAAACATCTCGAATCTCAGGTAATGCAACTTGGTAGGACTTGTCACATGCCTGAAAAGAAGAATCCAATCCATGACCTCATGAAGAAAAAACTGGAAATCTTAATAATATAATTATCTTCAGCAACCACACCTGAACTTCAGTTCATTGGTATGTATTTCTGAACCTTAAGTTCAAGGTGAGGTGGGGTCAAGTGCTGCTGTAAGCAGCTTTCTATTCAGCAAAAAAAAAAAAAAATTCTGCAACCACATTATCCAGTTACCTTGTCATTTTGAATGCTTGGAATTTCAAAACTCCTAAGATCAACAGCCTGCATGTACCAGTTTCCAGCAGTTAGGAAAGAAAGAAAAAATTAGCAATGAGCAGAGAATCTTGTCCTCTCAATTTTGAGCAGTAAACAATTTATTTTTAAATCTGTTATTGACAGTTGACCCAAAATGAAATGGAAAGACTCTTGCAAAGAATAAACAGAATCTGGGTTTTAAAAGAAAAATGCCTGAGAAAATGCATGTAAATTGAATGAGAAGAACAAACTAATTCTTATAATTTACATGATGAAACTGAAGATAAGAGGAATTACTAAAAAGAAAAGCAGTACTCTATGGTTCCAGCACAACAGAGGTTAAATCCATAATAATGACTAATATCATTTTTTGTTGCAAAATTTCAGTATCAGAATTCCTATGTTTTCTAAGTAAAATCACCCGTCATATTATTTAAGATTTGCAAATATATACTTTCTAATTCAACAAGGATGCATCATAAAATCATCTATCGTATTGTAGCAATTCTAAGGTATTGCCTCCGGCTGTTTCTTTCTTATGGCATGTATCTTCTTGGAAGGACAGCATCGCTCAGTGAAATGCAAGTAACAGAAATACGAGCTATCAATTCCGTCAATCAAAGTTTAAGTAATTATAAAATTGATAAGTCCATAGGAAATAGCACAATTAAGATTTAGTTGAAGAAGAGAGATTAAAATCGAGACAATCAAACATGATATGTTAAGGTGTTACACTTGCTTCATTCATAAAATGTCAGGATTATATTATGGCAGTTCTCCCATATCATAGATATTCAGTTTCAAGGTTACAGATATACGTTCTAAGCATCTAATCTTGCTAAGCTGAACTGAACTGAAGAAAAAACAAGCACTGGAAACACACCTCAAGTGCTTTGCAAACTCTTTCAAGTTCAGGACGATACTTGATCATTTGACTAGTTGTCACAACCTCAATAACACCCAAGCAAGTCCTACTACCTTGCTCAAAGACAGGAAGGGCTAGGGTTCCTCGGACATCCCACATTTGAGCATGATTCACTCGTAGATACTCTTCGCTTCTAAAGAATCGCACATCAGGAGTCCACTCAGGAACTTTACCCAAGAAAACTCGACCAGGCAGTCCGACCAAGTCCTTGCAATCCTCCTCAGCTGAAAACTGATAATTAACTGAGATTTTTCTATAATTTGAAAGACTCTGACAATTGGGGTCCAGCGTGAAAGGTTGGTCGCTAGTTGTTAGAACACGCCTACCTCCTCTATTTACAGGAACCCAAATCTGTATAAGGACATCTTTGTCTCTAGTGAATTCTTTGATGTAACCAAGTGCCTGTCCTAATCTCTCCATTACAGAAGAAGCAGGACCTGGATTCGCCTTGGGTCCAATCCACCATGTTCTGCTTAGCTGAGAAACTTCAGCCCTGTAGCTTCCCAACTGGTTAACGTTACCAATGTTCTGAATAAGAGATGGGGGATTGACAAAACTTCTTCCTGGGGATTCATTTACATAAGAATTTCCAGGCAATAATGATCTCTGCCTCTCTTCTGGATTGATAATTTGAGATTGACTCGGGCTCCAGATGCCATTGCTGATGTCTGAGGAAAGCCATCCAAGTGAAGGGTCAAAAAGGGATGTAGAAGTTGATGGAGTGGGATTTGTAAAGAACTCAGATCCATCTGTTGTCTCCAACCAGCACCCTTCAAACAAAAGTTCGTCCATGTAATCGAAGTCCGTAGTTGAATCCTGTGGAGCGCTAAGCATGCTACTGGGTGGGAAAAGACCATCCTCCATAATAGTGTCGATTAAAAATCTCCCGGTCTCCAAAAGCTAATCTGTCCAAATTGAGGAAACATTTTTTTTTTTTAACAAAAAAAAAGCATAAGAAAACCAATCTTGGCAAGAAGAAGAACAAGAAGATTTCAAAGGATACTGGAAACAAGACGCTTGACGCTAAGAAGAAGATGAAGAAGAAAAGGAAGATTAGGTTTCACTTTTTTCCACTTCAAACCCACTATCAGTCAACTAGAAGATTATCAAATCAGGAGCGACAGGGTTAGAATAAATTGAAGAATAAAACCAATTTTATATCCAACATACCCCAGAAAAAGAAAGCAACACTAAGTTCGTTTCAGGATGCCAAAAAAGAAATCAAAAGGAGAAGAAAGGAACAATAAAGCTACAAATAAGGTAGCCCACTTTGTAAATATTCGTCCTCTAGCTGGTCAGAAGATACCCTTTTCCCTTATGATTCAAGATTCTAGTTTTATGAAAAGAAATGAAACAAACACCACTCTCCGTAGAAAACATTTCCATTCTAATCCACAAAAACCAAGTAATCTCGTTTAATTGAAAACTACCCAGAAAAACACATGAACAAAAGCGAAGATTTTTCTTTTAACACCAGCCCCCCTAAACCCTTCACCCCCAGAAAAGAAGGAAGAGAGAGAAAGGAACAACTCACAAAGTAGAGATTCCTGAAGATACCCTGAGACCCAGATGCGTATTTTTTGGGGGGTTTAATTACTGTATTATTGTAGTCCACTTCCTTAAGTACGCATAAAAGGAAAAAGGACACAACATGTCTTGAGTCCGACAATCAGGACCAACTCAACAACAAAGCTATCTGATAAAATGTCTCGTGAAATCCCCCCCCTCCCCCTACAAGATAAAACCTGGCATGGGAAATCGTCGTTAGAATTAAGAGGTTCGGACATTGTAATTTTAGACCTGTAATGATTCCCAGCTTCATAGAGAAGAATCAAGAATGACCCCACACCCACAAACTCCGAAATGAAAAATCAATTTTCTTGGGCCTTTGAATTTGTCGCTTTAAAGTCAACTTTTCGATGTGGGAGAGAGAGAGAGATGTATCCTCTATCCAGCCGATGATGAGCTTAGTAATTCTGCATTATTTTAATACCAAGTGGAATCAGATTTCTTCAGAGTTGCAAACGTATGCGTGTGCCACTTTCGCTTGCCAAAGATGCTCTGCCACGGCCCCTCCTCCCCCACCTTAAATTATTTAAGAAACAGAATACGCATATGTATGTATATATATTATATATTATATATATATATATGTATATGACGATATCATACACATATATTATGGGGAATGTGGTGGAAGGAAACTCTCTGCATCAGCAGTGATGCTGCATAACAGAGAGTTCGAGAAAAATTTGGTGGAGACAATTCAATTGGGAACTAAGGAAATGGCGGTTTCCCCAGACAATTCCATTTCTGGAATTAACAGCCACGAGTGCACTTGGACTACTTGGTACCGACTTGCATGAATATTATTTTCTTTGAATCTTGATTACGTAATTTTAAGTGACATTTGTACTTAAACCTTTTTTTATTATTTATATATATATATAATTTCATTTTTAAATAAATAAATAAAATATATTCAAAAATTAAAAATTTTGTATTTTTTAAAATTTAAGATCATATTTATTAAATATATTATAAATTAATAGTAAGAAATTTTATTAATTAAGGGGGTTTTTTTTTTTTTTTTTTTTTGAAAAAATAAGATATTGGGGAATTTGAGGACAAAGTACAAGGGGGATGATCATGTGGATAATAATTAACAATAAATGAAATATATATACATGTGTATATATATATATATATATAAGAGGCCTTCGTGGGTTGTCAAAACGGTAGCGTGTCATCCACCACACAGGCAGCTGTTAAAAAATGTGGTTTACAAATTAGAATCTTCCTGTCACGTTCCAACCCGTTTGGCATATTAATTACAGCAGATACTCTCATGATTCGATTCCACACACACACACTCTGTTCAATTTTGTTTTTAATATTCAAATTAAATTAATTTTTTTTAAATATAATATATATATATATATATAATTCTATAAGGAATAAAAAATAAAAAAAAAAAGAAAAACGTATTCTGCATATAAAGTTTTTATATTTAATGATGAAAAAAAAGTAGCAAAAAATCATTTCCTAGAAATTAAAATGTATTTAATGATATCAATCTTTTAATTTTTTAAAAACTTTTAAATAAATTATAAAATATTTATTCATAGAATTTTTATTCTGGATAAATTAAAATAATATACAGTGAATAAAAATATCAAACATAATATATAGTATACATTACTAATTATGAATTCAAATAGATTTTTTTTTTCTAAAAAATGTAATAATTATTAGATACGTAATAAATATATATATCTATAATATACAATGTATATATTAATTGAAGTACTTAATTTAATACACGTAAATAATTATGTCCTGGAATCTATATAGTAATTGAATTTAGTTATATTGTGCATAAATCAATTAATAATGAATTATTTATATGTTATAAATATATTTATACTCATTAATTACAACAAATAAATTTAGAACAATCGTGATACGAAAACAAGTTTTTATATGTAATATTAAAAGTTAGTAAGTAATGAAAACATATAAAATATGAACTAATCAGATCCTTATCCGTGAATTATAATAAATTTCTTGGTTACACCATGCATTGTTTAGAACATATACGTACATCACTGCTTATATTAATATATATATATAGGTACTGAGCCACAAAAATAGAGATATTCCAAACATGAAATCAGGAAAATACATACTTCAAATTTTTTTTAGGAAACCAAGAAGGCTACGAAACATACAACCATGTTTTATTATGTTCAAGCAGCATGCATCATCAAGGTTTATAATGTCACATGACACTCAGTATTACACAAACATTATACCAAAGGATTTAACTCTTGAGTTTATGCTTTTATCTCCCCCTCTGCTTTTGTGTTTACTCTTTTTTCCTCCCTCTTCAAAATCAAAGGCATCTGATCCCTTTCCTGTTGTTGTCCCCTTCAAATGCTTGGCCTCAAATTCAACCGACTTGCTAATTTCTGACCCAGAGACCTGTCAGCCTGTTATAACCCATACCGCCAAAATCACACACTTCAGTTTTTCATTTCTCACTCACATTTAACCTATCAATCAAACTTCATGCTTTATCATTGCGGCAGTTATAGAAAGGAAGTCCTCACCTGCGACCAGTAAGAGATCCAGATACTTCGGATTTCGTGAGTCAGTCGCGGGTCAGATAAAGCATCAACCCACCGGCACATAAAACGTTCTTGCCTGGTAACCATCAAAAAGAAGAATGGAGATTAAGGTGATTGGTGTAACAATTTGCACTACCACCACAATTCTAATAAGTACCGAGAACCACTTGTACCTGTCTGGTGTAAAAGATCGGTATCTCTCTCCAGGCTGTTTGAAGTTGTTCTCCTTCTCAATCACACACTGGATCAACCAAAAGAAAAACTTATTATCTAGGAAACATTTAATAGAAGTTTTGATTAGCACTGCAATAACATTGGAGACCAGCAATAATGGTGGGACAAAAAATATATAATTGTTATTAAGCATCCTTAGACTATCTGAATACAGTTTTCTCCATAACCATCTGTCTCGTGTGGACCCTTGACACTTCCATGTAGAATGCAAAACATTTCACGTCATGCCCCATCTTATATGACCATTCCATGTCATATACAACGAACTATCACCACAATTGCCACTAGATAATCCTCAAAACAGCTATATGTCATTTACATATTCCCCACCACCCACAGTACATCTCTTGCCAACATACCATCTCCACCATCATCGGGTACAACAAACAAACTTATTGCTGTATCCATCTTAAATTCATGTGTAAAATAGTACCACTCAAGTTAAGTACTGCTCTCAAGTACAAGAAGGCTTCTGAGGAAAGCCAAATAAAGAAAAGTCTTTAATGGAAATTACCACTCAAGTATTTTAACTACCACTTTGCCACAGAAGGCTTTTGAGAAAAAAACAAAGTAAAGTTTCTCCATGACTTTGGATACTGAGACCCTAATTGAATGCAGCAACCAACTGAGTTAACTCTAAAATCAACGCAATCATTAGGAAACTAGAATGCCGTCAGGCAACTTCATCAATCTCACAGTAGACACTGGAGTCTAAAGTTATGCAATAAATCTACAAAAATATTCAATTCCAACAAACTAGAAATATACCCTTTCGCGCCTTCCAGTGCAGATGTTAGGAGGAATAGGAAACCTCTCAGCATGATGAACTGGATCATATCTCGAAGGGAAGTAATTGACCTGAAACATAGAATCATTTGATGAGACTAGAAGCTAAAGCACAAGCCAGAAAAGACTATTAGATAACAAAAGCAACCTGAAAAATTCTAATAGCTAACAAACCCAAGCTGAAAAATTTTTAGCATACTAAATTTGTCTGTTTATGAGTCTTCCGGGTTCATCCTCGTAGCACATTACATTTTCCATTTTAAGCAATTATCTCAATTAAAATACAAGTAATTGGAATGAGAAATGCAGTATATCTAGTCATTTTAGAGAAGGCAAAAGATAATGAGAAGAGGTTAAGTACCTCCTCGTCCCTGTGCATGAAATTCATGAAACCTTCATGGTGGTTGTTGTGATGAACACACTTAGGAGCATTAGCTGGGAGCTGCAGATAGTTTGGTCCAAGTCTGTGCCTTTGGGTATCGGAGTAGGAGAAGACTCGAGTCTGCAGCAGTTTGTCATCAGAATAATGTATCCCAGGAACCACAATTGAAGGGCAAAATGCAAGTTGTTCGTTCTCTGCAAAGAAGTTATCGATGTTCCTGTTCAAGACCAAGCGGCCAACTGGCTGCAGGGGAATAATATCCTCTGGCCAGGTCTTGGTTACATCAAGTGGGTCAAAGTCAAATCTATCCTCATGATCAGGATCAATAGTCTGGATGTAAAGTTTCCACTCAGGATAGTTGCCAGCTGCAATTGAGTCATACAAATCCTGAGTCGCATGACTGTGATTGGATCCTCCAACCCGAATTGCCTCATCCTCCAACAAAGATTTAACTCCACAAGTGGGCTTCCAGTGAAATTTCACATAATGTGCCTTTCCAGCCTTGTTGATGAGAGTGTAGGTGTTAACACCAGAGCCTTCCATGTGCCTGTAATCTTGTGGAATACCAATGTCATCGAAGAGGAAGGTGAACATGTGCAAGCTTTCTGGGTGATGAGAGAAGAAGTCAAGGATCCTCCAATTCTCTTGGATGTGAGACTTGGGGTTGGGTTTAAGTGCATGGACCATATCTGGGAATTTCATTCCATCACGAATAAAGAAGACAGGGAAATTGTTTCCAACAAGATCAAAATTACCCTGAGTTCACAAGAAAAAGTCAGAAATGATTACAAAGCTACATTACCAAGCTAATAAGAAATTTGAGATGCTTAATCAATCATACAAATATTAACAAGTTCAAGTGCAAAAAATTTATGGGTATACCACTATAGCTAATCTCAACTTGTGTGAGCTTGTGGTTTATATACTACAAATCCTGATGCAAAAATCAGTTTTCATGAAGACTGAAAACTCTGTTTTATAGAAACTATACTACAGTGGAAAATCCACAAGTCATCATCAAACACACTTACTAAAAGGCAAACAAACACTCACCTCTCTGGTGTAAAATTTCACCGCGAAACCTCGAGGGTCCCTCAGGGTTTCAGGACTGCCCCTCTCATGGATAACAGTAGAGAAACGGACAATCACAGGTGTCTGAACTCCAGGGGCACGGAGAAAATCAGCACATGTAAGATGAGAGATGTCATGAGTAACCTCAAAGAAACCCTTAGCACTGGCGCCCCTTGCATGGACAACACGTTCTGGAATCCGCTCCCTATCAAAGTTGGCAAGTTTCTCAACCAGATGGTAATCCTCAAGGAGGATTGGACCTGTCAAGTGATAGAAGAACTTAAATTGCTAGCTGCAAATTCATAACAATACTTATTGGCCAAAACCAAAGAACTTGTGTTTCAAATTTTCTTCTCTATGTCCTAATATGGCTTAAATTCATCTAAACCTATCTGCAGCCAAAAGCAAACAAGGAAAATAAATAGCTAAGCAGTTTCATTTCTTTGGCACCTAGAGAAGAACTTGTAGCTACTAAATAAATAAAAAATAACACAGTACGCAATAATGTGGACTTAGCATATAACATAATATATCATTATAATAATATAATACATGGTCTACTCTCGGGTAAGCCAAAAGTTCAAAAGATAACCGAAGTCCTTTTTTCGATATAGTATTGAACCATATCAAATCTCTAAACAAGATAAGCAATATTCACTGCCGCTGTTGGACCCAAGTAACTTTATAATTAGAACATTGTATTAATAGTAATAAAGCCCAAAAAAAAAAGACAATAACAATCAAGAGAACCAAGTAAATAGCTACATGGCTGCAGAGGTGATTATGACCATAATTACAAGTATAAAAGGGATAGAATCTCACAAGAAATGAATATGCAAACACAAACTAGGAGGCCAGGAATCTCTTCCATATCAGTAACATAGAATATAAATGAATACCTCTTGGTCCAACTGTCAAGGAGGAGTTATTGTTCCAAACAGGAGCACCAGAGTTCGTAGTCCAGAACTGAGCATTGTAAGCACTTGATGGACGGTGCTACATAATTATACATACACAAACACAGATTATCGGCTCAGTTCCACATAATTCATCCAAATAATTATACAAAAACGAAACCATTTCAAACTTTTCCCTCTTAATTTTTCTTGAATCTTTATAAGAAAAAAAAAAATCAATTTTATTACTTTTCATCTTCTTTTCCCTCGAATTTATCGACAATAGAATTGAGCTTCGAATTTTATTTATTTAAAAAATCATCAACTAAATACACAGACTGAACACAGAAAAAAATCGTTAACTATAAATTCGTTATCATAATTTAACAAAAGTTTTAGAGAATCAACAAGCAAAAAAAAAAAAAAGGCTTAGGCATCGAAGTTACTTCTCCAAGTCAAAACTAAAAAATGGAAAAAAAATTAAACAAAATACAAAAAAAAATAAAACCCTCTATAGCATGATTAGATCGTCGACTTTTCGCACATATAAACACAAAACGACAAACAGCTACAGCGAATTAAGGTCGTATCAAGTAGGAAACACAGACCAAATCAGAGACATCAAAACATGCGGGGGCCATGGGCAACCGAATTCAAAGCAATAAAGCGAAAAGGGAAGAAGAAGAAGAAGAAGAAGAAAACGAAGGGACATAAAATAGAGAGAGCACGTACCTTGTATGGGTCCATAGCTGGCGAGGCAGAGAGATTTTGTTGAGTCTGCTTAGGGGCGACAATCAACGCTCTGAGCTTTTGAAGCCTCTATTTATAAAGGCTTGTGGCTCAGGCGAGGCGAGGCGAGGCGAGGCGTGGCGTGGCGTGGCGTGGCTCCTCCTCCACTATTTTAATCCATATCTACTTATCTTCACATTTCGAAATATATCGCATCGCGTCATATCGTACTCGCCAATTTACCGTCTCACACCACCACCTCCATTTTAATTTTTAATTAATTCCGAGATTAATTTTAAAATTCGGTTCAAATGAGGATTAAGAATAAAAAATTAAAAATAAAAATTTATATCAGTTAAAACAATTGTATTTATTATATTACAATTAATTATTTAAATAAAAGAATCCACTCTAAATGTACGGAAGGGCACGATAAATTGAACCGACCCGGCGAGACATATTATTAAAATGAATTTATAATTTTTATTAATAAAATTAACAAGGCAACAAAAAAGAAATAAATAATTAAATAATTAAAATAATAAAATATTCGAGAACGTCAGGAGTTGAAGGCTCCTTATCCAGGGGATTTGGCGGTATACTAAAAGCAATTCGTAACCACTTAACGAAAGGGATGACATGGACCACTACGATAATGCCACGTGTCCGAGAAGGCCTTGGAACGTGTGCCGCAGATTTCCGAGAGACGGTTTTGGGGAGCTCGTACAGTGTGAACGCGAGGAAGATGCCGATAAGATTAAAAATGGGCCGATGGTTTGAGCTTAGCCACTGACTCGTGGGCCCACAATCCTAGAAATATGTGGTAATGGATTTATTTATTTATATATTTCTTTTTTTGTGGTATCCGAAAATAATTTTAATTTAAAATTAAAGAAGAAAAAATCATAAATAAATTATTTTTATGATTAAATAATTATTTTTATAATTAAATCAATACTAATTCTTTATTATTTATTAATTTCTGCTTAGTTAAATGAGCTGACGAATTTCTTTTTTTTTTTTTTAAATATAAGAAACGGGTGCAATACCAAAATATTTTAAGAGATTTCTCGTTTTAATACTATTTTTGTTTAAATACGTATAAATATAAAATTTTAATGAGATCCGGTGCATTAATACTAATATAATTACACCCGAACCGAAGAAATTCCTTGAAAAGATGAATTTAATTCTGGCAATATTTAAGTATAGTCTACGCGCAAGTTTATATATAAGCAGGCCAAAAATGAAAATTTCTGTACCATCTTGAAAATCATTGCGTGATATATAAAGTATATAAATTACGACGAGTCATTTTCGAGCTCTTCTCCTGAACTTACATTGGGATTCTCACTCACCACATGCATGTCCAATGATATTACATATATATATGTTGCCTATATATATATATATATATATATATACGTAAATATATATATATATGTGTGTATCTTGGTGGTGCTTAAGGAGTTTTAATTAAGTCCTATAAACTTGAAGATTCATGATCGTGCACGACACGATTTATCTACAAAAGGATCATAATCACACTCAAGATTGGAGATGACAGAGTGGGCTCGAGTATCGAATTCATGACAGACTAATTAACGTACTCGGTTGGATATGTTAACCAAACTGTGCATTCAACTAGCTTATTAGCCTTTTTTTGATGTTAGAACTAGGGTTTTGCAGCCTAATCACTTGCATGATGATATACTTTAAGTTCATTAATGCATTGGTAATGAGAGATGAGCAACCAGGAATTATCTAGGTGCATTAATTTGAAAAGAATATACATTACAAGAATATAAACAAATGATCAAATCTGAGATCAACACAATGTTCACAGCAACTAATACAAGGAATACAAATGCTTGTCACGATGAAGACAAACAAAGAATGGACCTAAAAATCAAAGAGAAAAAGAATGATTCACGTTCATGGAATTTGTTCAGACTTGCTGATCAGCTGTAGAAGGGAATTTGCTTTCCTCTGGGCTCTGTTGGTTCCGGTGCTTGTGATCTCAACCAAATGCTCATACACCCCAAACTGAAGTGCTGCCAGTATAAACGAGGAATTGGATGAACCCAGCTCGAGAAGAACTGATGTTGCACATTCCTTGTTCTTGGGGGTCCCTTCCCTGATGAACTCGACCAGAGTTTCGATGAAGGAGAGCTGTCCAATCTCGTGTCGACCCTCCGGATGAGACGCAAGAAGCAAAAATATGGAAAGGGCCTCATCAACCATGCCTAAATTCTTGTCCTTGAGTAAAGTTAGTAAAGGTGGAACAATGCCAGCATCAATGGCCCTGGCTTTATTTGATGAATTTAGAGACAAATTAAACAGCGCAGTCGCTGCATCTTTTTTACCTCTTATTGTCCCGTTTTGCAGCAAATCAACTAATGGTGGAATGCCATTTGATAACCCCACCGTCACCTTATTCTCGTCAAGCATTGACAAACTAAACAATGCTGCCGCTGAGTTCTCTCTTGCCTCCACGCTTCCATGTTCCAACACTTCTATTATTGCCGGAATGGCTCCTTCTCCAGAAATTAGTTTCTTGTTAGTCTCATCAATTGATAAATTCAACAGAGCTGTTACAGCATCCTCTTGTATTCTCGAATCCGGGTATGAAAGAAGCTGCACTAGTGGCGGGATTCCTCCTGCATTGGCAACCAGAACTCTATTTTCTGGGTTCTCTTTGGAGAGCATGCGTATTTGTTTTACTGCTTTTCTTTGCACCTCTAACTGACAAGAAGATAGTGCTTCTACCAGGGACGAAACTTCCTCTTTCTGTTCCTCGGAGGTGCAATCTGAAGATGAAGGATCTTCCTTTTTGGGAAGCTTAAAATTGTTCTTCTCACACCACTGCAAGATTAGGTTTCTGAGGGCATAATTTGGTGCCAATGACAAGTGAGCAAGAGTCTGCCTTGTCTTAGGACAGGTCCGATGGTTGGAATCAAACCATTTTTGTATGCTTTCTCTCTCGTAAGTCTTTTTCCCGTAACACCACAATCAAATCAAAATTCTATCAGTTCCCATTTTTGTAACATGATAATCTAATGATACAATCACAGACATGGTAATCTAATGTAGTTTTTTACCTGTCCACTAGCAACGATGACAGGATCTTTCATTATTTCTAGCGTGATTGGACAGAGGAATTCATGAGGGATCATCAAAGATGCACACTTATCCAGCATTCTGGGCATCACAGGATCGTCAAGGACATTGGTAATCTCCATGCCTAGAATTCTTTTGAATTTGTTAAGAAGGTCAACTATTTGCTGAGTACTCTCTGCTGTTTGGCCTCCTCTTTCTTTAACAAGGTTTCTCACAGCTATAGTTTCTATCTTGAGGTCCTCAACGGTCTGTAATTCTAGCTTTTTAGCTAGCCTTTCTATTATAGCACTATCAGAGTTCCGTGGATCTGTTTTGGAGAATACCACCATCATGTCCACCGCAAGTTCTATGTCCTGTGTATCTGTTCGCCTCTTTGCTCGTCTCAATTGGGTATGTATAAGTTCAACCTGAACGAAACAAGAAAGAAGATTGATCTGAGAAATTCTTAGATATTGACAACTTCTAGTTATCATGCAGCAAATCCCGAGGAACAAGCAATAGAAACTGTCTAACCAAGTCACATTCCTTTAAATTGCATAATCCTAAGGGAACAAAAATGAAATACTGGCAACAAGTAGGCATCTTTTCCCTAGAATTATTAAGAAAAAGAAAAGAAAATTTACACCTGTTCTTTCACTTCATCTGAGATCCCAAGGTCATCGAATGGAATTCCACCCAAAGCTTGGCTTAACTTTTCATAAACCGCATGAAATCTGATCATGGCAGCCTCACTCTCCAATGACTGAATCACGAGAAAGAAATTTCAGAGCCCAAATGATAACAAACAAACGGAAGAACGAAACGGAACCCACCTCGTAAATTGATGAAACCTCAATTTTATTTAACAAAAAATAAGAAGCAAAAAGACTAACCAAAAAAATCTTGCTCCCTTCGTTGCAAGTTTTCAACAGTTTCTTCGCCAATAGAAGCACCTTCTTCAAATTACACAAGCACGTAATGCCGTTTTCAGAAATTGGGGGATCAAGGTCCCGAATTTCCTCCAAAAAAGGCAACAAAAGCTTCATGCGCCTAACAAGGCTGTAGCACTCTTTCTTTTGAGTTCTTCGAAAATCTCCAAACTGAGCAACAGATTCAATGGTACTCTCCATTTCATGCACCAAATTGAGATGCTCTTCCTCCTGCGAACCGGCAGGAATAGCATCAAGCTCCTCCGAAACAGACCGATCCTCTCTCTCTCCCTCTCCTCCATCTTCCTCTCTCTCGCCATCCATCACCATCTGCAATTAACGTTTTCCAGGCGTGGGAAACGACGGAGGGCTTAGGTGGGGTTGCGTTAGGGAGAGGAAAGTGAATCAGAGGTTTTATTTGGGTTGGAAAATGAAAAAAAAAAAAAAAATGGTGTTGGTATGAGGTAGAAGAAAGGGAGGGAAATGAAATTGAAGGGAAACCCTAACCCTAACTTCCATGGAATTTGACTGTGAGCTGAGTTTCTTGGTGCGCATCAACCAGTTGGCGGTTTTTCCGGGGCATAGTTGGCGGGATTTTTGGTCCACAAAATAGAAGACATTTTTTTGAAAGTTGGTTAAGTTTTAAACGGACAACCATCAACCGTGCCTTCTTCCGTATGCCTTCTTACAAGAACTCATTCCAAATCTCCACCGTTTTGACTTCTAAACATTAAAAGATATTTTAGTTTTTATCGTAAATTATCAAAATATAACTCGAACGCAACTCATCTTGATCTAATCGAGTAGAAGTTATGACCGTTCGATCAACTAAGACTTGTACTCACTTCACATTTATAAAATATTTATATTTTTTTCTCTAAAAATTTAAAAATACGTACGTACTGTCTCTTTTTATCTATACATGATTTGAGTTTAGTTATTAAAATAATAAATTAAAAAATACGTAGAAGTTCGTACGAAATTTTTGTAATTAATCTTCACTTACCAGAATATTTTTGTTTTTTTATAAATTACGTGAGTAAATTATAAAATATTAAGTAAAAATAAAAAGATAATTAAAAATAATTTTATTGAAATATTAATTTCGACTATATTTATCGAAAGAAAGTATATGTCAATAAGAAGTTAATTAACATTATGATATTATTGTAAATACAGTATAGCGTAATTATAATATAATAACTTATACTTTAATCTTTATTTCTGATGTCAAGTTAATCACAACGAGTCTAACTTGATTGTTAAAATATACGTGTTACCGATTTTGTTTGCTAAGTGTCCCATCTAATTTGGTTTTTTAATATCAAGGTTATAAATTGATATGTAATAAATATATTTATTTTCACACGTATTTCACACCTACAAATAGTATAAGTTTTCTCGTTATTTACCTCACAAATAAGATTTTTTACTCGCTATTGTAAATATTCTTAATTATCTAGTACTTTATCCATGCTAGCTGTCGCGTCACATGTATTACATTTATTTTGATATCATATTTAATTTTATTTTATATATATTATTAATACTATTTAATTCAATAGTTAATAATATGTTATTATTTAGAAATTATTTTTTATTATATTTAATTGATGTTTATGTATCAACTATGATATATATATATATGTATATTTTTTTGTTTTAAAAAATATAATAATAAATTAAATTAGAAGTATTTAATTGTATTTTTTATTTATAAAGTTTAGGTAATAATTTATCCGTATTAAACAAACATTAAAAATCATTTGAATTTTTAAAATAATTAAAAAGAAAGAGGGAGTAGATAAGACTTGAGAGACATTCAATAATTAGCTTTTTTTTTTTGTTCTTCAAAAATCATAATGACATTTTAGGATTTTCATTATAATAAGATTAGTTGACAATTACTTTAATTAATGAATAATTACTTGTTGATTAATTAAGAGTGTAATTATAGGATTATTTGTTGTAATAAAATTACGTGTGTGCTTGGAACTTGTAATTTGGGTGCAATAATATTTTAATTAAAAAGAATTAACAATTTAAATATGAATTATATTCTAATTAATCTAAAAAAAAAAATTATGTTTGAAATAAATAGAAATTTTAGTAAATTTATTTAAAATTTTTGCTGCCAATCAATTAAATAATTTAGAATGTACTTCAAAAAAAAATAATATACTTTATATAATTATGTGAAAATATATTTATTTTAATTTATTAGTGAATTTTTCAATAATTTTAATATTTTTATATCAATTACTGCCTGCAAATTCTTATCTAATATACAACGGTAAAAAACGAATATCTAAAGAAAGAGATGAACAGCATGCAGGATTTTCTAAAATTAGGAGTTTGAAAGCTGCGTTGAACCTTTGGGTTTTTGTCATTTGCATCGCAGGGTAAAAAAAATGCGAAGAACCGACGAAGGTAAACTGGAGACGGATCTCAAGGTTAACTGAAATTGTCAGAATGCCCAAAAAAGTCTACGATCACACCCTTTACGTGTCAGTGTCACGTCACCCACCCAGCTGCCAAGCACTCGCTGCGATTTCTATTTTTTACAGCCATGAATTTTCCTGTTTTTTTATATCTATTTTTTTTCTTTAAAATTTTCGCGGATGAAAGACCTGGCCAACCGAATCAAGAGGGTCTCTACTTTTCCTCCCGCTGTCACCTCCTGGCCTTCTATAAGTAAACAAATGTATTGAAGTATTTTTGTTCGTGTGTGTATTACGTGCATGATTCCCTGACAAGGATCGTCTCTTTCATTATTTTTTGTTCTATCAGTATTAGGTAAGAAAATAAATACTCACCCTGAATTTTGTTTGGGGTATTTTGATTCAAACACCGATTTTTTCTTTGTTGTATATGTTTATATTTTTGTGGGTATTTTATTTTGGATTTTCTGGATTCGTTTTAAGGTTCCTGTTGGAGATATTTGTTTTTGTACTAAGTCTTGTTGTTGGATGAGAATGTGGTGTAGAATTGTAGCGAGATCATGATTGATGCTAACAGCTAGTTTGTGGGTTGGGATTTTTTGCCAAGTTGGGGGAGGTCTAGCAATTTCTGGATTCCTCTTTGATAGATGTCTTCAACTGCTACATCGGCTTTTTCACCCTAATCTAATAATTTATCTGGGGATAGTCGTTCTGATTTGGTTGAATTGTAGGTGAACTTTTTAAATTACTTATATGGGTTTTAACTTACCATTCTATTGATTTGTGTAGGACCAATAATTTAGGAAACAAATATCTCCTTGTCATTTCCATTGCCTTGCTGAGTTGGTGAAAGTCAGGTCTTATCCAAATGTTTTTTTTCCTTTGCTAGATGGACACGGCGGTGTCCCTTTCAGCCTGTGAAAGTTACTATATATATTGCTGGCCTTCATGTTTATAGTTGCAAGTGACCGAATAAACAATATTTTCATGTCGAGAGATGATGGAAATGAATGAGAAGAAATTCCTCACTGTAGCACCGTTTGAGTGTGCTTGGAGAAAAGATTTGAAATTCCGGGAAGCCGGTAGGGGTTGTGTGGCCTTTGATGCTTTTGCTCATAATGATGTAACTGTGGTGTTTAGGGAAAATGTGGGGAGCCAGCACTACCATTACAAAAGGGACAATAGTCCTCATTACACTGTAATCATCGGAAGTCATAGAAATCGGAGATTGAAAATCGAGGTGGATGGGAAAACAGTGGTTGATGTGGTGGGGGTTGTGCTTTGTTGTTCTTCAGCATTTCAAAGCTATTGGATCAGTGTTTATGACGGGTTGATTAGTATTGGCAAGGGTCGGTACCCTTTTCAGAATCTTGTATTTCAGTGGCTTGATTCAAATCCAAATTGTAGTGTTCAATATGTTGGGCTTAGTAGTTGGGATAAGCATGTGGGTTATAGAAATGTCAATGTGCTGCCCTTAACCCAGAATCATATTTTTCTGTGGAAGCAAGTGGACTGTTGTGAATACAGAGGGGATGAGGAATGCGACGAGGAGATGGAAGATGAGCATGCAGGCTTTGACGATTGGGGACTTGGAAATTTTCTTGAGAGCTGTGAATGGTCTGATGTCTTCTTCATTGTTGGTGAGGAGGAAAGGCCTGTTCCTGCTCACAAGGTTATCTTGCAAGCATGTGGTAATTTTCTGTCAAGTTCATTGGATGGAGATGTTATTCCGCTGCAGGGGGTAACATATCCCAACTCTCCATGCACTTCTTCAATATATCTATACAGGCCAAACCCAGGTACTTTTTCTGCTGTTCCCTCTCTGGTTCGTCTTGGTTATGGTCATTCCTTTTCAGTTGTGTCTTTCTTTCATTGAAAATCGGTTCTGTAACTCGGTGCTTGCTTGTGTACCCACATTGATTTTACATTCTAATAATCCATGGACATCAATTGGGTAACTAATTTTTCCACTTCTTCCTCCTCTATCTTTCCTTCTCTTAATTTCCTCAAAATGTTTTTCCTTTCTTTTTTTATGTTCCTACTTCTTGTCTTTCTTCTTCCTTTATCCTCCTTTTAGGTGAAGCTTAGCTGCAAGATTCTGCTCAACTATCTGTTTGCCTGCTTACTCTGTCATGGTTTTCGTTTGATGTAGATTTCAGAGTCACAACTTGGCTCCTTGTTGGCTTTGAGTTCTCAGTTTGACGTGGTGCCACTGGTGAAACAGTGTGAAGAAACTATTGAAAGGTTTAAACAAAATAAAAAATTGTTTGACTCAGGTAAGATTGTGGAACTATCATATACCATCTTTCAGCCCCACTCTGGTACAATATTCCCAGCTGGACTCCCAGTTAATCCTGAAAAGCTTCGGAAGTTGCATTTGACGGGTGAGCACAGCGATGTAAGCATTTATGTTGAAGGCCACGGTCTTGTTGCCCAACCTCATAGGATTATTCTCAGTTTATGGAGTGTTCCATTTATGAAGGTGATCTAACTTCATTTTCCCTTTTTTTTTTCTCCTCATTTTTATGTCATGCCCTGTGGGTCATACTTGGTTCTTCCTGTCCTACCAATCTCCATGAATCATTGCTGACGGAATTAATTGGATTGACAGATGTTTACAAATGGAATGCGTGAGAGCCATTCTTCAAAGGTTTGCTTATGGGATGTATCTGTAGAAGCATTCAACGCAATGCTTGAATTCATGTATAGCGCAGAACTCAATGTGAAAGAAAATATGGAGTTTGGTACCATTTTACTCCAGCTTCTTTTATTGGCTGATCAATTTGGAGTAACTCCTCTTCATCAGGAATGCTGCAAAATGATTATAGAATGCCTCTCGGAGGTAGTTCCGTAACCCTTGTCTTACCAAATATTTTAGGTTGTTGCTTTTTAGAATATGTTTGCACCTGTGCTACATCTATTACAATTTGCTTTTTGTATGACTGGTACTTAAAGAAAGGGAGAAGTGACTTGCGGTTTCGGCCTGAAAACAAATGAAGAGACACCCTTTGCAAAATATTGAATTATAGAATATTGATACGCTTCATGTACATATTATATGCAGGGATGGAGTTGTCCTAACGGAAGAAGGTCATACAACAAGAATTTTTCTATTATGCACAACTTTATTGGACGAGGAAGCAGACAAATTTGGCAGAGTAATTGGAATGTTGCCTTTGAAGCTAACTATTGAACTTTGTTGCAGGACTCAGTATGTACAATACTTCAAGTGGTTTCATCCATTCCATCATGTCAGCTCATTGAAGAGGTGTGCAAGAGGAAATTCTCAATGCACTTTGACTATTGTACCACTGCAAGTCTTGACTTTGTCCTGTTAGATAAGACAACATTTAGCACTATCATTCAGGTGGGTGCTCAATTTTCAAGCTTCTAACTTTTTTGAGAATGACCATCACTCTAACTTATCTAAATCAATAAATGTTTCCTGTAGTTTTTATTTATAGGAACTTGATGTGGTAACTGGCAGCAAAAACCTGTAGTTTTTTGTGATTGTTAGAATATAATAAATAAATGAGGAGTCTTTTTTCACATAAAACTTTTATGATAATCCACTACTTATGTCAAAATGTTTAACATTGGACTAAAGAATGAGTTGTTTGGCTCAAATCTTTAGAATCTTCTTTGCTCCTCTTTTCCCATAGTTTGGCCTTTATGTAAAGCCTAGTTTGATATATGGCATGTGCATCTTTCTAAGTTTGCATTCTGGTTCTAAATTAGCATTTGAAGGTGAGAGAACATGTCCTTTGCCAGATTTAGGAACAATCCCAGGTATAGAAAATGATAGATCTACAAGTTTTTTAGTTTTTTTATTATTGAGCATATGTACATATATATATATATATACACACAAGAGAAGATTTTTAAGTTAAAAGTTCAAAATTAAAAATAAATTTTGAAGGGCAAAAAGAATCGCTTGATTGTGTAATATTAGTAAAAAATAAAAAGTAACATATCTATTACGTCTTCCAAATCCTTGCTAGAATACAGCAGTTGAAACTTTAACAAACACATAAGGCCTGGAATCGGGAATCTTTAAATATTTCAAATGAATCTTTAAAAGCCTCATCTTCCTCTTATTCCAAATTACCCAAAAGATAGCCAAAAGATAAGCCTTTGTAACATAATTACAAAGCGACTGTTCTGTTATATTTTAAGTCAACTTCAATGGGGGAAAATTTAAAAATTTATGAAAAACAATATATGTACAAGAATTTCTTGACTACAGGTGGCAGTTGCCTACACTGCGTTGTTGTAGCTCCATCTGTGAACACAAGGCAGATAAATATTAGAAACTATGTTTTTCTTTCTTTGAAGTAGTTTAATGTGGATCCCTCAAATTTATCTAGTTAATCATAAGCACTTATAGTATGCCATCATTTTGCAGCATCCGGATCTTACGGTAACATCAGAAGAACGGGTTCTCAATGCAATTTTAACATGGTCCATGAATGCAAAAGAATTTTGTGTGGGGGAGTTGGTTGATGAGCTTATAGTAAATTCAAATCCTGAACTGCTTTTTAAGGAGAGGTTTGAGTCACTCAATGACTTGCTTCCCTATGTGCGATTCCCTCTTCTTTCATATGTGATGCTTAAGAAGGTATCACCTGGCTATGGGAAGATCTTTTGAAGAATTGAGGCTTTAATCTCAAATCGGACACTAATTGCTATTTCTACAATGATCTTGCAGCTGGAAAACAGCAACCTCTGCAGGCACATTCCTATCATGGATAATCTTGTGAGTTCTTTTTTGGTTTACCCAATTTCTAGGACAGAATTTCCTTTGAGTTTATTAACAATTTCTGTTTTGTTGCTAAGATGTTTTTATGTTTGTTATCAACAGGTCAAAGAGGCAATTGGTTTCCTAGATATTGGATTGACAGGCCCAGGCTATGACCAAAAGTAAGTGTTATCTTGTATCTACTGGAAAACAAAATTGATACAATATCTGAAAATTCGCCCTGTTTCACTGTTCTTAATTTTAACAAAGAAATGCTTTCTTCCATTGATACTTATTATGAGACTGGAGCAGCTGCACCTTAGATTTCTTAGTGAAGTTTAGTTTCTTTCTATTAGATTGGCATTTTCCTCAGTTTGAGGTATTGTAAGCTTACATATGCCTCCCAGTTTCCCTTGGTTTCCTTCATATTTTGATGGAAAATAATTATAAATAATGAAACTAAGACTCGAAATGCTCTTAAGGAGTTTACAAATCTTTTTCTGGCTCTCATCTTCACCCATGAATGCAGAGACTAGGCAGAGAAATTAGGCACCAAACTTGGTATTGCCTCACATTTGAATGTGACTCCTGTCATCATGATGGGTTCTTATGCATGTTGGCATGTATAAATGTTTTATTATTGCTCATTGTTTGGTACCTTACAAAGGAACCAGAGATTGTTATTTTAAATGAAAACTTGAAACGGATTTACAATATGATTTTTTTCTTTTTGTAGTGTAAGATTCCAACACAGGCGATCTAGCTTTAAGGAGCTGCAGTACATATGTGATGGCGACAGCAATGGCGTTTTGTACTTTGCAGGCACATCTTATGGTGATCATCAGTGGGTTAATCCTGTTTTGGCAAAGGTAAATGTGTTGTTATTTCTTTTTCCTTTTCTTTTTTTTTTTTTCTCTTGGTGAAATAAATGTAAGTGCCAAATTGTTCTAACATAGTTCTTTATCTAATTATGGTATATTATATTATACCATATTGCTTGTTTCAGAAAATCACAATTAGTGCTAGTAGTCCCACTTCGAGATACACTGACCCCAAGGCTTTGGCTTCCAGAACTTACGTGGTATGATGTATCAAATCTAACAAGAATTGATGATGTTTAATCTTATCTTCTTGAACAGTAACTAACTGGTATTATCCTGCACCAGGGAACATCTTTTGCTGGGCCAAGGATAGAAAATGGGCGTACTACCTCATGGTGGATGGTTGACCTTGGAAATGATCATCAGGTTCTATCTCTATCTTTTTTATATATCTCACTATATGTTGCTCTAGAAGTTATAATCAAATTGTTGAAACCATTGGTTCTTTGTTGTTAAATTATGCATCTTTCTAGGGCATGTAGATGTGAGGGTCAAATTTGTCGGTTTTCTCAGAATAACCTCATCTTGAAGACCAACAATCTATCCTTCATGTGCTATTGATGTAAAAACTAGATGACATGCTTATGATATGGTCTTGGTTTTTTTTTTTATAATAGAAAAAAAGTATTATTAAGAGAAATTAAGAGAGATACAATCACGGAGAATAAGGCATCCTCATTTTCTATATATGTGATTTATGCAGTTCCTAAGATGATGGATTATATAATCCGTTGTTTGAAATTCCACCCTGCTGATAACACACATGTTGAGAGCAATGGATTCTCATCCACTACTAGAGGTATCAGACATAGAAAACTTTAGGCTATAAATGGAAGAAAGTGTTTTTATTTTCCTCCAAAGGAGTAGGCTGCCAGATTGATTCTGGTTTGAAGTAGAAGGGGTGTAGTCTAGGCACGGTTATAGAGTAGAATCGAGTAAGATGGAAATATATGTTGGGATTTAAGTTTGCACATGCATTCTGGATGTCCTTCCACGTTTTTTATGCACGGTTAAGTATCTTTCTGCAGTGTGTACAATCTGAGAGAAAAAATTC